CTCGAACTCCTGCGGCAGCAACAGCCACGGTAGCTGCAGTAACAGCAGCCTTAGAAAGTGCAGCATATCGATCATCAAAGAGCCTGATCACCTCAGCGGCAATCATCTCTCGAATTTGATCATCGGTCAATCCTGGCCTATCCTGGCCACTCGCTCCAAATCCAGAACCTGATCCCCTCATGAATACCATACTGAAAATAAACCAGAATATATATGAAATGCCATAATTCATACATTAAAAATCATCCCAGACAAACGAAGCCCTTGGGGTTTGTGACTTCCTTGCTAAGCGTACGGGTCTTGTGCTTCCAGTAGTATGGGCCTATACTACCTTCCACACCTACCCGTATTTGTCTTAAGGATCATCACAAACTGCCCAAAACAAGTACAACAACCAAGATACGCATACATCCTATCCTCACTCTATCGAAAGTGACTAGTCATTCCTCATCTGGTCGGTTGTTCAACCATATACTCATCCATGAAACTTCCACCAACCCTACAGCCATTCATGTATGCTAATCATACATAACACTGGATCCTACAGATAGTCAAATACTTTATTCTACCCTGATACCACAACTAGACAAGGAACAGGAAGTAACGCTAAATCAAACATTTCTCAGGCTATAGAATCTTAGTTATGTATAACTATGATGCACACACTAAGCAACTACAGTAATGATGTCAATTTCATACACGAAGTTCTCCTAGGCTACCAGGCATCATACATCAGGAAATTCTATCATGCAATCCCTGAAGATCCCTAGCCTATCACTAGCATGCAGTTCTATCATAATTATCAATAACAAATAACAGTGTGGTAACTTGGGGTATACTTCTTGCTCCGGCTGATCGTACACATTTCATTCCTTCTTGGTTACTTTTGAAAACAATTTTTGAAAACGACTTTTGAAAACTATTTTGGAATTTATTTTAAAAAATATTTTGAAAACTTTTACAGATCCTTAGTTTGATTCTTGTTCACACGAATGCTCATCCAATTCTCTCAAACCAGGGCTCTGATACCAACTTGTAAACATCCCAAAAATCTAAGTACAATTTTTCATTTTTCCAAAACAGCCACATGATAATAATTTTTACAAAACCATTGTTTCAAAAGTAAAATCAATATTAAGAGTATCCCAAGATCCAAATACATAAAAATCCGAAGGATGTGCATGATCACGGCTTTGCCTTCCCCCGGTCGTCTAAGTACCTGAAACAATAAACTGAAACTGTAAGCCAAAGCTTAGTAAGCTCCCCTAAAGTACCACATAGCATAACCAAACAGATATACATAATGCATATTGGGTCCACAACCTACCGGTTGGCTTACCTTGGCCCATAACCTCCCGGTTGGATTTCCCTGCATATAACGTACTGGGTCCACAACCTCCGGTTGGATTACCGTGGCCCACAACCCCCGGGTTGGATTTCCCTAGCCCACAGCCTCCCGGTTGGATTTCCCCGGGTTTATTGAATGACCGCACAAAGCAATACAGTCTCAACCCAACCATACTATGTCGACATATAACATATAACATACATTCAACAGACAGATAATCATATAGCCAGTCAACTGACTCATAAGAATATCTACCGATTACTACCGCATAATAACATCCTATATAATCAGGACTCGGTTCTAACAGATCAATACAACATAGCAACATCCTATAAACCAGGGTACATAACTCAGTGGGTCGGCATTGGTACCTTCGAACCATAAGTACGATGAGGAAAACTCACCTCTCAGTTTGAAAAAGAACGTTACAGGACAAAACTCCGAATATCAGCTCAACCGGTCACCTATTCATCAAATAATGACCAATCTTAAATACCACTCAAAATACCCAAAATTCCCCTTGGTCAAACTTGGTCAAAGTCAAAAAGTAAAAAAAATCAAACTTGGTCAACACAGCTGAGTACGTTGGGCGTACTGAGTCTATACGTGGGGCGTACTCACTCTTTGACCAAAAACGCGATGTTGATCTGGTACGCTCAGCGTACCATTCTGTACGCCCAACGTATGCTGCCTCCTCTTAATCCTTATGTTAAGAGCTTATTTCATTAAGCTCTTTCGTCTAATTCTTAGGTCTAGCCCCAAACTAATGTCCTTAACCATGAAGTTTCCAACTTTATGGTATTACATGGCTAGCCAGTGCCCAAAAGCTAAAACTCTAACTTCTTATCCCATTAAGATGTCTCAACACTTGCATGGAGGGAAAAGAAGGCCCAATATCACATTTTTATCACTCAAACCACCCTAAAATGTCCAAAAGGACAACTCATTTGGTCTAAGGTAGCTCATACCCAAATGGATCTAGAGATATGATCATCAAGTTCAGAACTTTATACCTCAAAATGAAGCTTGGAGGTGAGGTGTTTTTGGATCTAAGTAGTCTTGATCTTCCAAGATGGTTCTTCAATCTTCTCTTGGATTCAAAGACACCAAAACACACATTATCAAGCTTCAAATGAAAACACAAGAGATTATGGTTGCTATAGATGAAATGAGGGTTGGAGGCTAATGAGGGAATGATCCTTGGGGAGTTAATGATGTTTATATAGGGTTTGAGGTTTTGGCACGTACGCATGCTCCGCCCAAATATTACAAAAATGCCACTAAGGGCCATTTTGCAACAATTTCTCACACAAGGGCTAAAATGCAATAATTCTCATACTTAGGGCTGAAAATGGAAATACCTCGACATCAAGATGTTGATTCATGTACCTTTTGTAAAATTCATATCACTTGTTATGAGGTTCTTTAGGTGCCAAATAAAACTTCATTTTATTTGTCATTAGTCGCGATCAATTATAAACTAAAATCCGGTATTTTAAAGTTTAGTCGTAGATCGGTTTTAAGAATCGGTAATAGTCTTAATAAAATTTCATTTTATACTTAAGACTTGGAGTTTGGATGAGTTCTAAAAACACAATTTTAAACCTCCTTTTAACAATAAAAATTTATTACTTCATGTATTTATAGAATAAACACATGTTATTTTATAAACTCAATTTTATGCATCTTAGTAACTAATCTTGTTTTATAGTCAGATATGGATCCATCCGGATGATATTTTCCTTTGAAAAATTTATTTGGGTCTTATGGATGGGTAGATCAACTAAATCCTAAGTTTTGTTGCCCATAATGGAATCCATTTCATCATTGACAACTTCCTTCCACAAAGGAGTATTCCTAGACGACATGGTTACATTAAAGGTCTTAAGATCGTCATCCAAGTTAATAGAGAAAATCTCACTTTCTTTTGAGTTCGTTCGATCAAATAAGAGAAAAAATCATCTCTTAGATGTTTCTCTTTTCTAGCCTTTGTAAAGTTCTTCAATAACTTGAGAAAACCAAATATTATCTCGAGAAGTACTTGGAGCTATAATGGGGTTTGAGTTTTCACCATCTCTTGAAAACTTGTCCTCGAAGAAATTCACATCTCTAGATTCTACGACGACACCTGATTCGTCATCCAGTCATCGATAAGCCTTGGTGTTCTTAGCATACCCAATGAATACACTCTCAGCTTGGGCTCCTAATTTGGATCGCTTAGGATCGGGTGTCTACTAATAGTCAACACACACTCATACTCTTAAATAGTCCAGTTTAGGTTGTCTTCCCTTCCACAACTCATAAGGACTTGTAGGAATCACACAACTAGTGATCGTATTATTTACCTTACATGTAGTAAATGGTGCTTCCTCCATAGATTGTTTAGTAAACTCGATATGTTCAATATGCAACTGACCATCTCGAGTAAGGTTCAATTATTTCTTTCAGCCAAACCCATTCTATTGGGGAGTAAATGGTAAAGCTTTTTAATGTTTGATTCTATTCTCTTCGTAGAATTTGTCAGACACTCGATTAAAATATTCAGTCTCTGTCCGGGCAAAAAATCTTTATGTGTTTCTCATGTGGATTCTTTATATCAATCTAAGACGTCTTCCTTATTAGCTATACAGATAGATCCCATTGATTAGTCTGTTAATTCTCTGAAACGTTCATGCCCAAATGAAAGAATTAATCCTCAAAACTAATTATTACAATGATTCAACATGTCCTCATTCATTCATCCTATTTTAAATCCAAGTTTATCATACACATTTAAAATCAAAGCATTTAAAATCCAAGTTTCACCATCATAACCCCAACATCAAAATATTTAACCAATAATCTCAAAACAACAATGTACTTGCTGAAAATGCAACTAATCTCACACCTCAATTTACACACTTAGAACAGTTGTCTAAATAGTCTTCCAAATGCTAACGAGAAATGGATTTAGCCAAATACCTAACGCAGGTATTACACAAATCAAATATGCAAATGAAAGATACAACTCTTAAATTGCAATGCGGATGAGACAAGCATTGTTTGAAAATAGGGGTTTTCTATAAGTACCCCCTTCCTTTTCCAATTCCACCCCCCTTGATTTGATTTTTTGTCATTTGTTGTTGTTTTTTTTGTTTTTTTCCTATTTTGTTTTTTTGTTGTTTTTAATTCTTTTTTTAATTATTATTATTATTATTATTATTATTATATTATTATATTGATTATTATTATTATTATTATTATTATTATTATTATTATAAATTTCGCACAAAATTTTAACATTCGGAAGACATTATAAATTCAAACGGCTATATAAAATCAGTTTTTAAATATTTTTTAATTACGGACAAAAAAGTTGTTCGAATTTTATAATGTCGTGCGAATTTATAATGTTTACCGAATTTTAAAATGTCGGGAGTAAAATTGGTTAATGGGTACTTATAGCACAACCCTTGAAAATATAGCATTAGTTTTTACATATTCCGAAACCTAATTTCCAATCATGAGAGATGATGGAGAGCTGACACACAACTCAGTTTCCCTTTCCTAATTTTAGCAAACTGTTATCATGTATGAAGCCATCAACCGAGAGAATCACAATATTAACGTATCTCTAATTGTTGAAAAGAAAAAGAAAAGAGAAGATTCTGAGTTTATACGAAAAGCCAATAATATATATTAAGATCTTGAAGGTCACCGCTGTTTTTGGGAACACAAAACACGACCTTAAATTTATGATAAACATCTACACCAAACTCATGTTTTTGTTTGTAACCATTAAAAAAAAAATGAAATCAGATTTTATTACACAGGAACAGCAACTGCCTCGTCAAGAGCATCAACACCAGGGAGTATTTTTCCTTCCAACAACTCCAAACTTGCACCACCACCTGTTGAGATGTGACTCATCACTTCCGCCACTCCAACTTTCTCGACAGCCGCCACTGAATCTCCACCTCCAATGATTGTAGTCACCCCCTTTCCACTAAGTTCAGCCAGTTTCTTTGCAACTGCCTGCAATTTTAGTTTATAAAAAAAATGATAAACAAGGATCGATGCAGTTTAAAGAGAAAAAAGAGTTGAAAATATATATATGGAACACACACCTCTGTTCCAACTGCAAATTTGTCAAACTCAAAGACTCCCATTGGTCCATTCCAGATGACAGTTTTGGTGGTTTCCAAGGCATCATTGAAAGTCTTGACAGAATCCGGTCCAATATCTAGGCCCATCCAGCCATCAGGGATAGCTGATGCTGGCACAATCTACATACATATAGTACCCAAAAAAAAATACTTGTTAGTATTAGTTTTTAGTTTTGACAAAAAAAAAAAAAAGCTACCTTGCTGTTTGCATCAGGTGCAAACTTGTCAGCAATGACGACATCTGTTGGTAGCAAGAGGGAGACGCCTTTTGCCTTGGCCTTTGCAAGGAGTGTGGTTGCAAGATCAAGCTTGTCTTCTTCCACCAATGAGGATCCTACTGAAAGCCCTTGTGCCTTGTAAAATGTGAAGATCATACCCCCACCTAAAAGCAATATGTCACATTTTTCAAGAAGGGACTCGATCACTCCAATCTTGGATGACACCTTTGAACCCCCAACAATGGCAGCAAATGGCCTTTTTGGGTTTGAAACTGCCCCATCAAGATAATCCAGTTCCTGCAGTTTTTAAACAAACAAACAAGTTACATATCATCCATCATTCATCAAGAGATCAATGAGTTGAGTTATCACACCTTTTGCAAAAGGAAACCAGCAACAGATGGCCTCAAGAACTTTGTGACTCCCTCAGTTGAGGCATGGGCTCTATGGGCAGTTCCAAAAGCATCATTTACATAAAGATCCGCTAGTGAAGCAAGCTTTTCTGCAAATCCAGGATCATTCTTTTCTTCCTCCTTGTAAAACCTTACGTTTTCAAGAAGAAGAACACCACCATCAGGAAGTGAAGCCACCAGCTTCTCCACATCTGGACCAATACAGTCATCCGCCTTCACAACCTGTTTTGTTTATCAATTAATAATTAATTAATATATTTTTCTACCTCTGTTTGCTTTTCTTTAAAGGACAACAAGTGTGTACCTCAACACCAATCAGTTCCGATAGTCTAGGAACAAGAGGAGCCAGGCTGTACTTGGGAGTCACACCTTTTGGCCTACCCTGAGGAATTTCAAAAAGGAAGTGAAGTGATGAGTCACAAAAATACCTCTTATTTCCAAACAAAAGAGAACAAAATACACATGTTCTTGGACCCAAAACCTCTTGGTTCAAAGGCTACCCCTCATCATCGTTTACTCTTTTCTTCAATGAAAAAAAGATTTCAGAAGAAAAACTCAGTCGGCCTTCTATTTCCTACAATGCATGTTTCCTGTTTTATCTTGTAAAATCATAAATGCTCACCACACAGTAAAAAGATTGTGATCGTAGCTCATTACACTCAACTACAACTTGAATCGAATGATCAAGCTTAAAAGAAGAGGTCGGAGGACTATATTAGTTACGATTATCATCTGAGATAAAAATGAGATTTAAATAGGAATGCATATGCTTGAGATGTGCTTGTCGCATTTAGAAATGGACAAAGATTGATCACGGAAGACCATCACATACCAAATGACTAGAAAGGATGACTTTAGCACCATTGCTGATCAAGTGCTTGATGGTTGGGACGGCGGCTCTGATTCTTGTATCATCTGTGATATTCTGACTGTCGTCCAATGGCACATTCAAATCAGCCCTAACGAACACCTTCTTGCCCTTTAGATCGGCAGGAGAGAGGTCTCCAACGCTCCTCTTGGCCATAGAGACAACGCCTGTGATTGGTCTGGCGGAGGTTTTGAGGGATTGGAGCTTGGAGGCTACATGTGCAGAGAAAAGGGGATCAGCGGCGGCGAATCCAAGGCCACGAAGTGGGGAACGCAGAAAGCGAGAAGGCAGGCGAACAGTGGGGCTGCTACGGGAGGTAGTGGAAGACGAAGAAGTTGTGGGGATGAGTGAGAGAGTGGTGGGTGATGCTGCAGAAGCCATTGTTGAATAATCGAGTAAGGAATGAATCAGTGGCAGTGATAGAGAAGAAATAGATGGGGTTTATTATGTGGGGATTTGGGGATTGGGTGTTTGCTTTTCCTTATCGTTGAGGAGAGGCCAAAGATCTTCGTCCTTGGATTTGCCTCTCCCTGTTCAACGGCTTTCTTTGGTCCAAGCGTCGGGTTTGAGTAAATTACAAAACACGTACCTCCACTATCATCAAACTACAGTTTGCTTTTGTTTCCTTTTTGTTTTTTTTTTTTTTTTGCATTCATAGTCCCTAATGGCTAGTGATGAGCATTAGAACCGCCGAAACCGGAACTGGAATTGGTAATAAGGTCCGGTTACCGGTTCTCCACTTTTTTGAAAACCGGTGCCGGTTTTAAAAACCGGAACCGGTTTGACATTTTTCCCGTTTTTTAAAATGCGCATAACTCACCCATATGAAGTCGGAATTAGTTAATTTTTTTTCCAACATAATTTAGAGTTTGTAATTCATTTTTGGCTGTACAAACATGTATTTTGGTTAGACATTGAATCAGACACATGCCCCGAAAGAAAGAATATCGATGCTGCGTTTTTTTCTATTTCAGCACTTTTTTGGTTTTTTGAATTTGTTTCGTTTTTTTAAATGTGCATAACTCATTCATATGACGTGGAATCACTTCATTTTTTTCTATCATATAATTTGGTGTTTGTACTTCATTTTAGACTGTACAAACACATATTGTGACAACCCGAAATTTCTATCTTGTACAGTCATTCAATTCAATCGCAGTCAGACTCGTTTCTGCTATCTTTTAGCATTGTTTAGGGTCTGTTTGAGTGTTCTAAGTCTAGTGCATTCAAGGTTTGGGTTTAGGGATGAGTTAACTTTCTTCGTATTGCATTCGGGCCAAACACTCCTTCAAGAGGAGTGTACGGCCGTACACCCAAGGTGGTCGTGAACCCATGCCCATATATAAGTTATTCCTTCATTTTTTTCACACTTTCTCACACTTTCACCTCAAGAACTTCCATTCTCTCTCAACTACAATCAAGAACACTCCTTCTAATCTTCAAAAGTGGTAAGTGATTCTTCATGTACCTTGTTATACTTGAAAGACCAATAGATCCAAGCCTTAATTCATCATGTTTCAACATCCATTCATGATCTTGAAGGGAGTACGGCCCTTCATAGGTTCATTGGTCGTACACACCTAAAGACCCTCCAAAATGAGAGTTTTGTTCATATTCTTGTTGTACATATGACACACTAGTTTCCTCATGGATCAAACACCCATTTTTACATGTTTCTTCCATGAGTGTACGGCCGTACACTCCATGACCGTACACCCAATGGCCGTACACTCTATGGCCGTACACCATCTTGACTGTACACACCTTGGCCGTACACTCCCTTGTGTGGTCGTAAACCCGTTTGATGCAATCACATGTGATTGTAACACTTCAATTCAAGTGTTTCCTAGTCCCTATAGTGGTTTCCTATCATAATTGGTTGTTATATACACTAATTATATCCATATATGTGTCATTATATGCTTACTAGGATCCGTTTGTGCTCGAGACTTCACTTGACACTTAGCATCCTACATCGATCTTACATTTGAATCACTTACTACAGGTGAGTTCATACCTCCGTATTTTCATAGTTTTTACTGTTTTAAGGGGGGGGGGGGGGAGGGGTACAAGTCTAACACAAAGATTTTGTGTTATACACAAATGGTTTCAAATATCTTATCAAAATGGATTTCAGTTATCATCAAATCAAATGGTTTTCAATGATTGTATCAAAATGACATCAAGTCACCAAAATGTATTTCAAATTATTAAACTTCTTTTAAATGTTTTTTATAAACTTATATTTCTCCTAGAAATCATACTTGTATATATATATATATATATATATATATATATATATATATATATAAGATTTAAAAGGCTTAGGACTGATAACCTACTTTGGTTCCTTTTCCTTGTTTGGATGTGGGATTACAAGTATCAGTTATTTGTCTGAGTGTCATTTAAATTTTACTTATATATATTTGTATATGCATACAAGTATAAAAGTTAGTTCATTAAGTTCAATTACCCTTTGTAACATGTTAAGCAAGGGGTTGCATTCATGAATACTCAGTATCTATTCAGAAAGTACATATAAATTATAATGGGTATAATTTATGATTCACAGAACATTAATTCACAATTCAAGTATACTAAAGTACATTGTTTTACAAGAACAAAGGTTTGATTCAAAACTAATCAATGATATACATCTTTCAGATACATGTTAAGAATACTAATTCAAGAACATATTGCCAATCATTCATTTTAGAATGATTGGGTTTTCATAACTATTATACATGTAACGTTTATATGCTTTTTATGAGTCAATTGATACAGGTTGTTTAATTCATTTAAACAATATAGTTAAAGTCCTGACATTATAACCAGAATCTCCAGCCGGGGATCGAAACAATGTATGTATAGATCTATATTGGGATTGACAACCCCACACTCAGACTGCTAGCTACAGTCAGGCATACACGCCTACGAGTGACAGCTGTTATCAACAACTTTCAACGCATTCATAGCGTTGGGTCAATCCATCTGGTCAGTGTGGTTATAATAACTCATATAAAAGATATTAACAATACGTTAGTGTATAATTAACTAAACATAAGTACATTTTCAAAGTACTAGTTTATAAGATACAATTTACAGTATTACATTACAGTTTACAATAACAGTAGATGAAACCAGGAACACTCTCAGTTACAAGTTTACAAAAGGTATACAAATACAAAACATTGGTTTTACAAACAGAACAGTTTTATGTAACTAAAACTACTTTTCATATACAGTAGAAAATATAGGATTTTCTGGAACAGTTTACTTATTCAAGAAACAGATAACATTCATTCAAAAATACTTATGCACTCACTCAACTTTATGTTGATAATCTCTTTTCAAATTACTTGTATTCTCAGGGAACCAATAGACAGGTACTCCCCGTGCTTTTGAGAAGATGGAGCTATTTATGTCTTGTCTTCTTCTTTTGTATAACTATTTGGTTTCAGTATACTATGATGAAACACATGTAAATACTTATACTTTTTAAATACAGTGGTTATTTGTACTCTGATTACTATAATGCATGTGGTGTGATACTACAAATGAAGTCCTCCACCCCCGGACGTTTCCGTCGTCTGGTTTGGGGGTGTGACAGATTGGTATCAGAGCAATGTTTATAGTGAACTCAGTATATCAATCCATAAAAGATATACAAACTATAAATACATTTGGGGCTGAGAGTTCTGACTACCAGTATACTTTTAAAATTTTAAGTATTTTTACAAGAAGTATACTAACACTCATACCTACAAGTACGGTATCACAGTCATAAGAACTTAAAAGTATTTGGATGTTGGACATTACAGTCAAACCTGGGCAGTTATGTAATCATATCTGAGATTAATATAGCCTGATCAACTATATTGATTTGAGATATGACCAACATGTGTTTGGGAGTGATAGTGATGTTGTGACATGTCTAAAAACTTACCAATTATACATATATTCAGAAGAACTCTAGAACAGAACATAAAGATTTAAATACTATAGGGGTATTTTAGGCACTATATACTAATAATAAACATGTGAAAACAATAGAACAATTGAGGGTAGAACTATAAATATTAAGGGTATATTACAGTTATATATAATTAAAGTTATATAGACTTAGAATATGTGATCTAGCTTCATTTCCTATTCCTTGTTTGGTTGTGGATTTAGAGTCGGGTCATTTAATCGAAGGTCAGTTATACCCAAGTTATATATAATTAGTATACACTTGATAGTTATAGTAATACCTAGAACAAGTCATACATAATACATTACTTGTTAACTGTAAGTCTCTCTCGTAGAAACTTGTATCCTTAATTTATCGTTACTAACTATACTCTATATCTCTTATCCATATTCTCGCTTAGATAACAATGGCTGGATTTCATCTACCTGGAGACCCTTATTTTCCCAATCAAGGACAAGATGCAGAGCCAGAAGAAAATCACGAAATTCCCTTAAATGATGATTTTGTAGAAAATTTTCCTGAAGACAATGATTCCGGATCAGAAGCCTATAATCCACCACCAGTTGCCCAAAATCCTAACCCTCGTCCGGCTTTTCAAGGCCTGACGCCTCTGTGGGCGGAAAGCTTGGAAACATGGAGTCAAGAGCAGGGTCAACCCATACCATACAACGGAGACAGAAGCTTCTACAACCTGAGCGAAGGAGGCTCAGCAGACAGAGTCCTGCCAATTCTGGTCCGCAAGGTTGCTCGAAATGAAATACAGGGTAGGACAGCCATCAACCGAATCATGGAAGTTGATGCCAATGCGGGAGTTAATACAGTCCGCATTTGTCGTCTTGAAGATGCTCGCGAGAGAGCTACGAGAGACAATGAGTCTCTGCTGCAAGAATTAGTTGTAACTCTAGCTGAAGTCATAGAGCTTCGAGCGTCTAACAGTGTATGAAAGACATCTGCTTGCTGTGGAGCGTCAGCTGGCTGAGTTGAGGTTTCATCCAAGTGATACCCGTCGCCAGTAGGAGATGCTCTACTCATTTCCTGTTCACTCTTTTGGTTATAATTAAAGTCTACGGATATGTTCTAGCGTTATTTTTTCATGTTTTTCAGTAAGACCGTGAAAATTTCATTTTCGGTAAGTCAGTATGATGTCGATGTTTTTCTCAGAATTTGGTATATTGTAGACCTGTTTAGGGTCAAGTTTTCCAGACTTTATGTATTCAATATGCCAATTTAATCGACATGCATTTTCATACTCTTTGAAAAAATAACCACTCAATTTCATATCATCCTGTTGCAAGTCTATGGCGTCCACCGCTCGTCGCAGCAGAACACCTGGTTACAACAACCAACACAACACCACAAACGACACTCACTCGCCAGCCACAACTAGCTGATTGTAGAACGCAACCACAACCACAGAGAACAGAGACAAATACCTTGTCTCCAAGCATAATAATACCTTCTTCCCAGCAACAAACGACGACTCACCAACTTTCCCCTATGGAAAGCATGTCACATATCCCACTCTTCGCATAGC